AACAACTCGTTGCTGGTGGACAAAACACCATTCGATGAGACTGTCACCGCAAATGCCGTTCCACAACAGAACAAAGACAGTTTTCTTTTTTGTTTTGCCCGCCCACGATGCCGTTTTCTGAGACACTTTGCGCGGTTGTCGGTGACAAATGGATGACTACCGGTTCATCACTGACAACTGACTTTACGCGTGCGTAAAACGCATACAAACGAATCGGCGATACAGAATGATTGACTGCCTGTCGGGAGTTCTCTATTCCTCCATTCCTTCTGCTACAGATGTTTTGGCAGTAATTATCGCCATGATTGTTGCGGTCGTAATTACTCGTCAACACTGGACTTTAAGCGCTGATTAAGAGATAGTCGACCGTGGAAGTTCCTTCGGCAGTTTGCAGGAGGGTAAGCATATTTTCACTGGCCCATTCTAAACCTTTCACCACTGCTCCTCATCGCCTCGAGTAAACTGTCTTCGAACGGACGAGAGGCCTAAGCGTTAACTGTTTGCAAACAGGTGCCACCACCATTAACATTAGTAAGATCAAGTCGTTAACAAATTGCATATATATGTAGACATGGCTGTGACGTTCTGTGTTTTCATTGGGGTGTTCCTAACCTCATTGTTGCCGTTTCTACTGTCATTGTTGTTCGTTGTTGTTATTGTTGTCGGGTATGTTGCTGCTGCGACTTTTCCGCCGTGGTTATTTTTCCTTCACTCCCCCTTCTTTATACCTCATATTGTTTTATTTTTTATACCTCACATTGTTTTATTTTTTATACCTCACATTGTTTTATAACTATTATAACGTTATTGTATAATATCAAAGATGACTACTGAAGCTCAGCTGCATGTTCCTACCAGCCCTAAACATAAAGCGGCCTGGCAGATGTCAGCGAGTTCCTAGACTCCCGGCGACGCCCCGCTGTTCGTGCTGGGGTTCCACTTGCGCTTAGACACTGAGACAAAGCAATTCATTCGTAGTTGTGATAGCAGTAGTTTACCTGAACACTGTCGGGGGCGGCCGAGCCACGATAATGCGTAAGTAAAAATCCACACGTCCATACACTCAATAAACATATCTAATCTCATTCTCCTTCCATTTACTGTGAGTGAGTAGATCTGTGTATGCGTGTGTTGAAGGACATTACACGTGTGTATTCGCCTTTATGTGCAGCTGACTTTACCCCTTATCACTGGTAGAATTTACCAATTATATCTATCATGCCTCTCAGTACACGCATACACAGAACCACTCAAAAACATACTCCTCTATAACTCTACACAAACATGACATTCACACTAAAATGAAGTTAAAGGACGTCACTGGTCGATCGCTTTCCACCCTCTTCGTGATGTATGATTAATATATATATATATATATATATATATATATATATATATATATATAATGTTTTTGTTTTCGCTCGTCTTCGCTTTACAGAGCTTAGTCCTTACAAATTAACCTCGCTTGAATGGCATTCTTTTCACGGCACTATTATTATTATTATTGTCCTCGTTTTTCCTCAGTGTTAGGCCCAGCAGGGCTTTCCCAACGCTAAACACCTTCTCTCTGTCAGCTCACATCAGCTTTTCTTCCTGTTAACCACTTGAAAAATAAAAAATAGTAAGGTTTGAAAGCACTTCAACGAAAAGGAAGGTTTTTTCGTTGGAAGGCGTTTTCTGTTTTGTACGTTATTAAATGTCTTCGCTTCCACAGTTATCCGGCATTATGGTTGCATGGCGGTGTCGCTGGTGTTTTCTTGTTCTCGGTTTTAAACTCATTTCTGCATGCGGAGCTAAGCGTTGGTGACACAAACGCATCCACAATGCCACCCGACTCTACGCGGCGGACCAGCCGGTTCTTGAAGTGAATTTTTTTTCCTTATCGTCCAAAAGCCAATACATTCACAAATCCTCTCTCTCCCGTCTCCGTTTTCCCTCCTCTCACAGACATACCATCATACAAACATAGGAATTTAACGAATTTTGAACGAATCTCTTCTCTACTACAAGGAGTTCTTCAATGCGTCACTAATTGAATGAATCAAGCAGTTACCTATTATGGCATCCTGCGTAAACAGCAGAAACGTCGAAAAAACTGTTCTTTTTGCAAAGTCAGTGTCATCAAGAACACGTTCACTTTCTCCAAGCACACTTGCACAACAATTCTACCTAGGCTTTTTCTTTCTCGCTCGGTCTTAATGACGCATACATCGAGTGTGCTGATCGCCTTAATGTGAGTAGCAAACAACGCAAGATAAATAGCCGCTAATTTTCAACAATAGCAGCAGCGTACGATACAAATGACAATATAAGATAAGTAAAAGGGCGTTATACATATTTGGGGTAGCATTACTAACTGGGGGGAAAAGGACAAGAAAAAATGTCATTTTACCGCCGGGTGCCCCCAATATCGTCACAACAATACGTAAATAGAAGAAAAAAAAAGCAAACCAGATGGAAGCGTCATCGTAGCGGCTTTCAGCTAGGTGTACGATTTCGATTTTATGAACTTACACTGCGACCCACAAGTATATATTGAAACTAGGCAGTTTTCAGAGTTGAACAGTTCTTCAAACCTAAAGTAACGTATATAATCATACCCATATCAGATATAAACACATCACCCCTCATTTCGTCGTAAACTTAGGCACCAATCAAATAGTGTACTAACAACATAGTGCTTCTTTCGTAGCTGTCAAAAGCCAAGCAACTAATTCGGAAGCTGACTAACCCGCTCTCAATTAATCGGACCGATCAGCGTACAAGGAAGGGGTGATAGGGCCTGTAAGAGCCAAACGGAAGAATCACCTTGGTTCATGTCTCCCCTAGGCCATTCGCAACCCGCATAATCATCACTGTTGGGTTTTCACTCGAATAGGCGTCATTACAAGCAATTATGAATGAAAGTAGACGATATATCACCACCTTTTAGAATGCGTGGCATCTTCCCACCTTCCGATTTCTATGTTTTGCGTATGTTTATATGCATATGCGTATGTTTATATGCATATGCGTATGTTTATATGCATATGCGTATGTTTATATGCGTATGCGTATGTTTATATGCGTATGCGTATGTTTATATGCGTATGCGTATGTTTATATGCGTATGCATATGTTTATATGCGTATGCATATGTTTATATGCGTATGCATATGTTTATATGCGTATGCATATGTTTATATGCGTATGCTATGTTTATATGCGTATGCATATGTTTATATGCGTATGCATATGTTTATATGCGTATGCATATGTTTATATGCGTATGCATATGTTTATATGCGTATGCATATGTTTATATGCGTATGCATATGTTTATATGCGTATGCATATGTTTATATGCGTATGCATATGTTTATATGCGTATGCATATGTTTATATGCGTATGCATATGTTTATATGCGTATGCATATGTTTATATGCGTATGCATATGTTTATATGCGTATGCATATGTTTATATGCGTATGCATATGTTTATATGCGTATGCATATGTTTATATGCGTATGCGTATGTTTATATGCGTATGCGTATGTTTATATGCGTATGCGTATGTTTATATGCGTATGCGTATGTTTATATGCGTATGCGTATGTTTATATGCGTATGCGTATGTTTATATGCGTATGCGTATGTTTATATGCGTATGCGTATGTTTATATGCGTATGCGTATGTTTATATGCGTATGCGTATGTTTATATGCGTATGCGTATGTTTATATGCGTATGCGTATGTTTATATGCGTATGCGTATGTTTATATGCGTATGCGTATGTTTATATGCGTATGCGTATGTTTATATGCGTATGCGTATGTTTATATGCGTATGCGTATGTTTATATGCGTATGCGTATGTTTATATGCGTATGCGTATGTTTATATGCGTATGCGTATGTTTATATGCGTATGCGTATGTTTATATGCGTATGCGTATGTTTTCGATATGCGTATGCGTATGTTCATATGCGTATGCGTATGTTCATATGCGTATGCGTATGTTCATATGCGTATGCGTATGTTATGTCTCTCTGTTCGTTCGTGCGTGCGTATGTTATGTCTCTCTGTTCGTTCGTTCGTGCGTATGTTATGTCTCTTTGTTCGTTCGTTCGTTCGTTCGTGCGTATGTTATGTCTCTTTGTTCGTTCGTTCGTTCGTTCGTGCGTATGTTATGTCTCTTTGTTCGTTCGTTCGTTCGTTCGTGCGTATGTTATGTCTCTTTGTTCGTTCGTTCATGCGTATGTTATGTCTCTCTGTTCGTTCGTTCATGCGTATGTTATGTCTCTCTGTTCGTTCGTTCATGCGTATGTTATGTCTCTCTGTCTGTTCGTTCGTGCGTATGTTATGTCTGTCTGTCTGTCTGTTCGTTCGTGCGTATGTTATGTCTGTCTGTCTGTCTGTTCGTTCGTACGTACGTATGTTATGTCTGTCTGTTCGTTCGTACGTACGTATGTTATGTCTGTCTGTTCGTTCGTACGTACGTATGTTATGTCTGTCTGTTCGTTCGTACGTACGTATGTTATGTCTGTCTGTTCGTTCGTGCGTATGTTATTTCTGTCTGTTCGTTCGTGCGTATGTTATGTCTGTCTGTTCGTTCGTGCGTATGTATGTCTATCTGTCTGTTCGTTCGTGCGTATGTATGTCTATCTGTCTGTTCGTTCGTGCGTATGTATGTCATGTCTGTCTGTTCGTTCGTGCGTATGTATGTCTGTCTGTCTGTTCGTTCGTGCGTATGTATGTCTGTCTGTCTGTTCGTTCGTGCGTATGTATGTCTGTCTGTCTGTTCGTTCGTGCGTATGTATGTCTGTCTGTCTGTTCGTTCGTTCGTGCGTATGTCTGTCTGTCTGTTTGTTCGTTCGTTCGTGCGTATGTCTGTCTGTCTGTCTGTTCGTTCGTTCGTGCGTATGTCTGTCTGTCTGTCTGTCTGTTCGTTCGTTCGTGCGTATGTCTGTCTGTCTGTCTG